TCCGATTCACATTCGCTGGAAATGGTGAAGAGAGCAGTAAATCTATTAAAAAAGCCTTGTAAACAAAAAATAAGGTGCACAGGATTACTTGTGTTGATTGCAACATTACAAAATAAGAATATGTATTGAACAGCTCATAATAATGGAATGGTGGAGATTTAAGGAAACGAATAGTTGTAGTCAAACGGTGGCATCCGGTCCGCAGTTAGGAGTAGACAAGAATTAGTCTCGCTGTATTATAACTGCCTGTTACAACTACTAAAATAGGTACGTGGATTATGGACATCGCACACTTTTACGATATTAACTACTAATCTACTGTCTACTAATACCTAGTATTAGAGACATAATTAGAGATTGAGAAATTGAATCCATTGGTTTTGAGAAACTATGGGTTTCCACCGATAATTAGTGTGTAATGACTACAGATTATTTCAAATCAAAACATTAATGACACACTGTAAAAGTCTCTTAAACTTAAAGTTGGGATGGGATGAATACTTAGGCTCGTATTACAGAATAACAACTAAGTGTTGATCTTTACTTGGGTACAGTTAGAAAGGGATGTCGCTATGTGCTATATATAATTTAACTAGATCAATCACTGAGAATCTTTCTATAATACGGGCCTTAGAAAGGGATGTCGCTTTATATTGCACATAGCGGCATCCCTTTCTAACTGTACTCAAGTAAAGATCAACACTTAGTTGTCATTCTGTAATACGAGCCTAAGTCTTCATCCCAGCTTATTACCTCCTATTGTAACTACCATCTGAACAGCATTACCACCACAGAACACAAAAAGGGGTTAGAAAGGCCTTGTGGGCGGAGCAGGCTAGCCACAGTTATATGTGAGCAAATTACTTGACCAAAACTTGGTTCTAATTGCGTCGTTGCTCTGGGGTGTGAGCACTGATTGGTTCGATTGTTTGATGTCGCGTCGTTTGATTGGCTATTATCTTCTAGGTGGAAGTGTTGTGGGAGCGAACCGGCGACATCGGCTCACAAATGAACGATCTATAATCACTCTTCGAACCTCTTTCTGTGTTCTGTAATTACAACGCAATACGCTTCTTTAATAAACATCCTATAAACTATCAAAACATAACTGTTATTATAACGCTTCCAATATTCATGTGAAATACACATGCCAATAGTGGGTAGAGTGTGTGCGGAAAAAGAATGGGATTTAAATTGGAGGGCGCTGTAGTGCTTCTACCGTATTTGTAAGGTTTTACCCCCTTTAGAATGCTGAGCTTTCTGGGGGAGCTGGGATGGCAGGAGTGATGCCAATCCCCACGCAAAAAAAGCAGTGGGTGTCGAGTTGCGGAAACAGCCCGTCGTTCTACTAAGACTAAGACCCCTTTTAGACATGATTAAATACAAAAAACCCGCAAGAAATCACAACAACAAACAAATCCGTATCAATACAAAACTTCGACGATTGACAGATGGCTGGGTTTGATTGCCATATAAAAATCTTAATGTTAGTTCCGTTTTTCGCCACGCCCATTCTGTTTCCGCACAGACTCTACCTACTTTATTTTTCGTACTATAAAAAAACCTATTGTTATTGTATGAAGCTTTGTCTGTGCCTTAATTATTTTATTTACTTATATGCAAGGACGGCCCCAAAAAATGGCTGTTTAACGCCTTTTTTACGCGGCTGAAGCGTGTGTATTTACAGTACCCTTAGCACGAACGAATCGAATTCGTAACGTTTGCCAGTCCGAAATATCATTGTCAAATGTGTACTGATTTTTAGTTTTCGTTACGTCCGTTGTAGCGCTGCTTTTCAAGTTTCCATACTACATTTGACAATGACATTTCGCACTCGCGAACTATTCGAATTCAATAATGGTTCGTGCTAGGGGTACTGTATGCAATGACCTTTTGTTCGATATTCAGTAACGTTGGCAATGTTGGCATGTGATTCATAGTATTTAAGGTAATGCATTATTGCATATTGCGTTAAATTCCTCCGGTATGCGGATTGAATTCCCAATAGTCCTATCGCTTAACTAGCTAGCCACTGCTGTGCTGATATTGAACCAAAGCTATGGTTACCATCCGTTCGGATTATTCTGGACATGTCCGGACCTAACCCAGATCTTTAAATTGTCTGGATTTTTTAAATTACATTTAATCTATACTTATAATAAATCTGTAGAGAGGTCAATTCTGTACATGAAATATATTTTCAAAATAACTATCAGGGGGTGATTAGTGATCGATACTGATGCCAAAAATGCAATCAGTAAAATTTGTCTGTCTGTCTGTCTGTCTGTCTGTGTGTATGTTCCTTATAGAAACAAAAACTACTCGACGGATTTTAACGAAACTTGGTACAATTATTCTTCATACTCCTGGGCAGGTTATAGTATACTTTTCATCATGCTACAATCAATAGGAGCAGAGTAGTGAAGGGAAATGTTGGGAAAACGGGAGAAGTTACTCCATTTTTTAAGCTTCCGTCGCGTGTGCAGCCTTAATGGTTAAAGTTACATAGAAATCATGTATAACGGAAATATTCTATATAAAAATGTCTAAAAAATATCCCGCAACAGCATATGTCTATCTTTTATGGTTGACTCACAATAACACGTGTAACTCCTCATAGCTTAGCAGTTCGGAGCATTCTGATTATATTTGTTTACTCTTACGTTTATAATACTCTCACTCATCCCTAATTTAAAAAAGTTAACATTATTACCTATTCAATAAAAAGAGAATCATAGAAATCGGTATAGAAACACCAAACTTATACATGAAATAAGCCATCGCGCCGTCGCACGTGAATACTGAATTATGCTATAAGGATTATTTTTGTGTAACGGTTGCCGCGCTTGACACGGGTCGCGGCGGCGGTAGGCTATAAAAAGGCGGGAGGTCCGAAAGCGAGCTTCCCCGCTCCCCCGATCCTGAGAGACCTTCAGTCGCTCTGTCCTAAACCGATACGGATGCACATCAGAGTGCATCCGTCCTCTAAGCGCACTATGCAGTAATATTTGCTAAGGCAGCGCTGCATCATCCCCTTCTCAAAGGTTGATCGCATAAGATGAAGCCTGTATGGCCCCTAAGGCCAAAGCCATCCCCCACGGGTGTGTTTTAGTCAGTAAGAGTCTGACATAACCCTACAGCCGGCTGTAGGGTATCCATGAGGATTTCACACCCGCTCGCCCGCCTGAGAGGAAATAAAAAAAAAAAAGAAAGCGAGCTTCATTCAATATTTGGCTGTTGATGCGTTCAGAGCGTTCGACCTTATTAATAATTGATATTAAGAAACCGTGCTTATCTTAGAATAAAAACCAAACATTTGTAAACAAAATTAGCAAATAAATCATGTAAAACGTGTAGAAAATGAGTACTGGAAAACGGAAATATGAGAATTTTAGTTTGATTATAAATACAGGTAATAAAGTCAAAGGTGACTGACTGACATAGTGATCTATCAACGCACAGCCCAAACCACTGGTCGGATCGGGCTGAAATTTGACATGCAGGTAGATGTTATGACGTAGGCATCCGCTAAGAAAGGATTTTGATCAATTCTACCCCCAAGGGGATAAAATAGGGAATGAAAGTTTGTATGAAACTTTGTCAATTTTAAACCGATCGGGCTGAGACTGCATGCAGGTATAAGAAGAATCATAGATGAATGTCATTGTAAATACAAGCCTGAGAACAAAAACTGTAGTCTACACTTCAGCTCTACACCGAAGCGAAGCGAGGGCGGACCGCTAGTATGAATAATAAAAGTATATATTCATTTAAATACTATACCATTGTAACTAAGTGAGCACTGGTACTATTTTGTGTTTAAAAAGTCCGGACTTTTTTCGAAGGATTTTAAATAGCAAAAAACAGTTATAAACCTAAAATTACGTAAATCTACCCATTGGAAATAGAATAATGTAAGTTGATACAAAGTATTATGTACAAATAAATACACAAAAAATATATATAATTAGCACTTACCTCTTACAATTTGTACTGATTTTTAGTTCTAGTTACGGCTGTTGTGGCGCTGCTCTTCAAGTTTCCATACAAAATTTGACAATGATATTTCACATTCGCAATCTATTCGAATTCGATATTAAATAAATAAATAAATATTTCCAACACACCAATTAGCCTAGCCCCAAAGTAAGCACTGTAAGGCTTGTGTTATGGGATACTAGGGTACAATGTATTCTCATATACAGTAGTGTAATGTCATATACAGTACATATATAAGTATATTTATATAGAAATACATATGAAACATCCATGGCTGGAGTACAAATGCTCGTATTCATCACACAAACATCTGCTCCCGCCGGGACTCGAACCCGGGACCTCTCGAGTCGGCGACACCATGAAACCCGGCGTACATACCACTCGGCCACAGAGGTCGTCAATATTGGATAGTATAGGGGTACGGTACTCCAAATCCGATCTATTTTATACGTCAAATGTGTACTGATTTTTAGTTTTCGTTACGTCCGTTGTAGCGCTGCTGTTTAAGTATTCATACAAAATATGACATTGACATTTCGCACTCGCAAACTATTCGAATTCGATATTGATTCGTGCTAAAGGTACTATACCCTTAGCACGAACCATTATCGAATTCGAATAGTCTGCAAACCGATATGTCAATGTCAAATTTTGTATGGAAACTTGAACAGCAGCGGCACAAAGTACGTAACGAGAACTAAAAATCAGTACACATTTGACAATGACATTTCGGACTCGCAAACGATACGAATTCGATATTGGTTCGTGCTAGGGGTACTGGTCACTTCACACAATCACAATTATGAAGCTTAATTAATTTTTAATGCGAACCTGATTTGACCCCATGCGAATAATGCAGGGTTAAAGCACATAGCATTTTAAAGCTAGAAGCATTAAAATACAAGATTTTATATCTAAAAATACGAAACCATGATTTCGTACAAGAATTATTCAGTTAAATATTGAGCTTATAATTACAATTTCTATTTGTTTTGTTTCAGGGGTTTCGGGAAACAAGGATTCCAGTGCCAAGGTGAGAAATTTAATCCATCTCCATAAAATATTTAGCATTGACGAAGTTCTTATTTTTTTAAAGACAACACTCATGAAGGAAACACCAACTTTGATATAATATAAATATCTTATTTTCTTTACGAACCTTATCCTGCTACTTCGTCTGCCTGGACTTCATCATCAGCCTATTAATATCCCCACTGCTGGGGCACAGGCCTTCCCTATGGATGGAATAGGGAGGGCCATGACCCACCACGCGGGCCTAGTGAGGATTGGCGGGTGCTAACGACTGCAGATGCAGCCAACGGCTTAACATGCCTTCCAAAGCATGGAGGAATTTGCGATAGAAGATTTTTGGTCACCCATGCAATGACCGACCACTGCGAAAGTTCAACTTCAATGATCACAGCCGAACCCGCTAACCACCCGCGCCATCGAGCTCCTCCTGGACTTAAGGATTTTGTATCTTAAAGTCGATATTTCTATCTTGATTCTTTATATGTGAATCTAGGATATGTTGTATTTGCTATATTGCATCTTAATGTGAAAACGATTATTATATAAAGTAAGATTAAAATATTTATTTCGAAAACCTGCACAAATGAAAACAATATCAGCCGGCAGAAGTCTGTTGGTGCTGGATAGTGAATATGGCCATGGAACAGTACGTGTATGTAATGTTATCATCATCAGCCTATTAATGTCCCCACTGCTGGGCCACAGGCTTTCTCTATAAATGGAATAGGGAGATTGGGCCGTGCGTGATCCGTCACTCGGGCCTAGTGCGGATTGGTGGGTGCTAACGACTGCCGATGCAGCCGGTACCATCGGCTTAACGTGCCCTCCGAAGCACGGAGGAGCTCGAGATAATAAGTTTTTGGTCACCCATCCAAACTTCCACGATCAACCACGTCCTGCACCATCGAGCTCCTCATCATGTATTCAATGTATGCTATATCTACATGATATTTTTTCTTGTTCGCAGTATGCAGTTTCGTGGTACACAAGCGATGCCACGAGTATGTCACGTTTACCTGCCCAGGCGCAGACAAAGGCGCCGATTCAGACGTTAGTATAATTTTGTTACATTCATTTATTGTTAGTAAAAATCTTTGAAAGTTTTAGTTGAAGAGTTTTAATAGAAAAATATCTCGCACCAAAGTTTCTAAATAAAATGAAATAACAGCCTCAATTTATCTCTATTTGACTTTAAACATTGTAATAGAGGAAACATAACATAACATGATTAAATATTAATTTTAATTAAGAATTTTGGTGGAATTGTCCGTCACAAATGATTTTCAAATTTTGTAAAAAATATCATTTATGTATAAAATCTTAGGATAATTTATAATTGTTATTATAACGTGCACTATGTCTGCTGTGCTATTCTTCAAGAAAGGAAATACTTTTCCGCGATGTGATTTGAAATTAAAAAACTTATTTCTATGTGATTAGAAATTCGTATTTTAATTTCATATCACAAACGGATTCCGCGGTGAAAAGTGTTTGTTCTTAAATAATACTATTGAAATTAATTCATATGACGTACCTACCTACACATATAATTTCAAATTGATCTGCTAAAAGCTTAAATCAATTTCCTCGTACGTATCTTTGTGGACAGGACCTGAAAGGAACAAATCAATATCTCCCGTACAACATCCCTCCACACCTGTTATACGTAAATGCCTGTTAATAAGCGATTTCCCCAATAAAACGGAGGTGTAACACAGAAAAATCAACCTAATGTGTTTGCGGTTGTCCAAATTGGCTTCCGTAGGGCGAAGCGTGCGAGGCCGCAAACCAAAATGAGGTCATTCTAATGTGTGGTCGACGTTGGAAATTAGCAAGTTCCTATAGATAACAATTAGTTACTACGACCTCCGTGGTCGAGTGGTTTGTACGCCGGGTTTCATGGTGTCGCCGACTCGAGAGGCCGCGGGTTCCCGGTGCCCCGGTGGGGGCAGATGTTTGTGTGCTGAATACGAGCATTTGTATTCCAGTCATAGATGTTTAATATGTATTTCTATATAAAAATACTTATTTATGTACAGTTTATGTATTTTATCCGTTACCCTAGTATAATATAATAATACAAATACAAATTCTTTATTTGATACAATAATTTCCGATACAGTATTGCGATTGGGAATTTCTTTTAAGTAAATATATACTTGTAATAGAAATTCCCGCTGTCCGTGCTAAAAGACATGGTACATTGAATTATTGATCACCTTAATATTTTAATAATAATGATATAAAATCTAAAATATAGCAAAAATTATTTTTTTATACAATATTTCTTTTAGTCGATTTGTTTGTCTGTGCTTATGCATGCTTGTATGTGGGTGTATGAGTGTGTGAGTGTACGTGTACGTGTGTGTGCGCGTGTATTTGTGTCTGAACAAAGAGTGTATTGTTGAAAGTGGTTCTACTGAGATATAGGTATCCCATAACACAAGCCTTATAGTGCTTACTTTTGGGCTAGGCTAACTGGTGTGTGTTTAAAAAAAAAGAGTTAATTGTGAAAATCTCTATTTTGTGCGCGCTTTCTACGCGAATTTGGGAACCTTCCATTAAAACGGAAGGTTTTTATAATCAGATGTAAGCTTTGGCCCAACTAATTAGTAAATTTCCGTAGACTTCAGATTTTGGTCATTGGCTAACCTGTTGCTTGGATAACCAAGCAACAGGTCTGGAATAATCCAGACTTGTGCCAAATTTAATTTGCAAGATTATGTAAGAAACGTCCAAAAATTTACATTTATGTTTGATAATGGGTATTTTCGTTCGTTAAAGTTGACTGTGCTGTGCCTGACAGACGGATGGATAGAATATTATTAGCAAGACTTCTGTCCGTTAATTCTCTTTGGGTACGGAACCTTAGTAACAGTGAAATCGAATAGACCAGAGCTCAAACTATGCTATCTATAAAAACAGTATTAATTTACTAACGAATTTGCATGATTTATGTTTTAATTAATTATTAATTAGAGCATCGCTTCGTAAATTCGAAAAGCAAACTCATAATGAAAACACCCACGTTAGTACTATTTAATTAAATTAAAAGTAAGTACGTACTTAGTCGGGTGTAGTTCACAAAGTAATTGTTTGACAAGCTGTAGCTTCGCGTGCAGAAGTGACATGAGCCGCCGCTTCGCGGACACACAGGGCTGCTAACTGTTTACAAATTAATCAGTAAAATATTCATATAGCCTGCGCAGACCAAGAAGAAAGAAAGAAAAGCTTTTTATTTGCCTTCACAACGTGAATATCGAAAACAAAATTTAGATTTTAGGTTATAATAATAAAATATAGACAATATAAACATGGGAACTAATTACTAGGTGCGTGCCGTGTAAGGCCTATAGGACACTGACTCAGCTATGTTCTGTGGTAAACGCATTCGCGATACCACAGCAGCGCTGACTTTTAGCCAGCGCCTTATGGTAAAGATGATTGCGAATGCCGGAATAATAATCCTCAATAAATGCACTATCCAATAACAAAAAGATTTTTTCAAATCGGAACAGCAGGGCAATGTTGCATTCGGTACAACGGGTCCTAAACTACGCAGCTATTTTTTACTTTGAATGGAAGGTTTATAAATTATGAAGAAACTCATTGTGTATAATACAAGCCTTTGTACAAAAACTACAGTCTACAGCTCTACACCGAAGCGAAGCGAGGGCGGCCCACTAGTATTAAATAAAAGAGTATGAGCCAACCCTATTCGCACATCCACTTCAGTGTAATTAATCTTTGTATTGTTCCACCTGTGTTCATATTATGCACTTCGGATAAATTAATGAATGAGTCATGTCAACTTTTTAATGAGAGTTGTTGAGCGTAAGTTTGTTTATAAAATTTAATTATTCATAATTCCTAAAGTATCCTTTCAGTGGAAAGCTTATTCTATCAATTCTAATTAACTTCAGTACAGCTGTCATCATGATCGGTACTAAAAATACAAAAATAGCTCTTGTTGCTATTGGAGAAAGGTACGCTATGCATTGTTTTAGCCGTGATATTGACATCTCTTTAGTTAGAAAGAATTTAGTTCATATTTTTTTAACGTGTCGGAATAATGTATAATATTGTATAACATTAACCTCCTTATTAAGTGTCGCCGCACACGGGCCACATGCACACAGCCACAAACGTCGCCACGAGAAGCTAGAAGCGGCTACTAAAGTGGCTGAAGCGCGCGACAGCGGCCGACTAAGGTAAGGGAGAGAGGGGTGGGGAATCGCGCGAGTGACGTGTGGCGACGTTTTGTATCGGCGCATTAAGTGGCCGGTGCGGGCCACAAGAAGCGCGCAACGATGATTTGTAGCGTGTGGCGGCCACCAGCGGCGTACCGTGTGTGGCGAGTCCATATAAAATGCGGCGTTTTGTGGTTGTGGTCGGTGGCCCGTGTGCGGTGACACTATTGAACAAGAAATAAGGTAAGGTTAGTTACGCCGTGGTTTGTTCATATCACTCAAATGCCATTTGTCATTCAATGAACAGAGACAAAACAAAACATGGAGTAACTAGACCATGCCAATTCTTCGTTTAATAAAGTAGGGGTTAAAGTTTCAATGAAAGACCATGAACCAACTTCATAATTAGTCCGTTTAGTATCTGGAAGTATATTCCAATATAAAATATAGTTGTGCTAAACAACGGAAGTAATACAGTAGAACCCGTTTAATACGATCACGCATAATACGATTTCTCGCATAATACGCCATTTTGCGTCAGTCCCTGCAACTTGAGACATGTTTTCATACATTTCTTAACGCTTAATACGATTCGTCATCCCGTTTAATACGCGAAAATCGCCAACACGTACCACACATATTACCTCTTAAAGTAACATAAAATTCAATGAGAATTAACACACAAGAAGAGGCCCTAAGTGATAATGATTTTGTCACAAGCCCAGGCATTATCAGCAGTTAATATTTTAAGACGCTAAGTAACTTCTTTGAATCAAAGCGTAGACGAACTGCCAAAGTTAAATTATGTTGAAAATCTTGTAATTGCTAATGCCTCAAAATCTTTTTGACAAACTAAAATAAGTGATTAATTTAAATAACGAAATAATAATACACTACATATTTTATGACATACATAATTCTTAAATATTGTACATTTTATTCCTCAATACCTATAGTCGAATTTTCCCTATCCCGCATAATAATTCCCGCTTAAGACGCTTTTTTGATTGAGTCCATGTGAAATCGTCTTAAACGGGTTTTACTGTATATTGATCCTTATTGATACTTATTGTGTTCCGTGAAAATCCATATTGTAACATAAGAAATTAAAAGCTGGCCAAAGTAAATAAAAATCATAATTCTGACGACGCGTACGCAGCCTGAAAAAGGGTGCGAAACATCAAGTAACAAATTAATAAACTAACGCATTTAAACCAATGAAGCTTTGTTTTGTTTTATAATAAGAAACTAGCTGCGCCAACGAACTTCGTATAGCCATAAAAATGTGGGTGGTAGAAGGGTGAAAATTTAGGGTTCTATGTATTTTTGTATGATGTATCATAAAAAAATAAAAACAAAAAAATTGTCCAAAAAAAATAATTCACCCTTAACATTTAGGGGGATGAAAAATAGATGTTGTCCGATTCTCAGATCTACTGAATACGCTTATAAAATTTCACGAAAATCGGTCGAGATGTTTCGGAGTAGTTCAATTACGCACACCGTGACACGAGAATTTTATATATTAAAGTTATTTCATTTAAGAATTAAAAAAATGAGACGTTAATAACTTCAAAACACAACGGAAATTTAATAATTCTCTTATTATTACAACGTTACATATTTATACCTAATGCAATATCATCAACATAAACTGTCCGATTGTTTTGTATACCTTGCATAATTATATTTATGCTATTCAACATTGTTTTTAAGATTTACTTCAACATAATAAAATGCCTACTGAGGGATATTCGGATTTGGAAAATGTGTGGCACTCGGGGACTGCCGCGGTAAAGTTATTGCATAACATTTATATCAAGTTATGCAATTGTAATTATTTATTTATTTAATTTATGC